TCCATTGTCGAACGATTTAATAGAACTTTGAAAAGAAAAATGTGGATGAAATTTAGTTTACGAGGAAATTACAAGTGGTATGACATAATAAATACGCTTGTTTCCAATTACAATGATACAAAACATCGAACAATTGGAATGAAGCCTAATGATGTAACTGCAGAAGATGTAGAAATTTTAAAAGAACGATTTTTAAAGTTAAGAAAGATACCTTTGAAAAGGTCAAAGTTTAAAATTGGTGACAAAGTTCGAGTCAGTAAATATAAAAACATGTTTGAGAAAGGCTACACTCCCAATTGGTCAACTGAAATATTCACCATCGATAAAGTTGAATCAACTCAACCTGTGACTTATAAACTTAAGGATTACCAAGACGAAGCCATCAGTGGAGGATTTTATGAAGAGGAGCTTCTTAAAGTGAAGTATTCAGATATTTATCTGGTTGAAAAAATTCTCAAGACACGTGGAAACAAAGTTCTTGTGAAATGGCTAGGATTTGACAACTCTCACAATACTTGGGAAGATAAAGCAAATATATAGTTGAAAACGTTTCATTATTGATTCATTATTGATTCATTATTGATTCATTATTGATTCATTATTGATTCATTATTAAATTAAGTATAAGTTATAATTTTAAGTTATTATGTATAGATATAAGGATTTTATAATAAACAACACATGAAATTAATATAAATTTGTTTCATTTATTATTCTTACAAACTATTTACACTTCATCAGAATTTGGGATCGCATAATGACCCCACGGTAGAGTATCGGTACTCTCTGGTAACAAATACCGTTTATCATCTAGTGGACTTAAAGCTACTTTTACCTGCTTCACAGTTTCAAGATTGTGAAGCCGTGATCTTATATTATACTGCGTTCGAGTTTGAATGTCAAAATCTCGCAGACATTTTACATAATCATCAAAATGAATTGATTTTTTTACAACGCCTGCTTTAATACCTTTTGCTTTTTTAATATAATCTTTATCTTCAACACGAATGCTGTACATCTTACTCCGCAAGCCAACAAATTTAGTAACTATTTTACCATTACATTCATCTTTCATAAGGCCGAGTATTTTTTTGTTGACTTGCGGTATCCCATACACATTATTCGCGGGATAATCTGATGTATCAAACTTATCAATATCTTCTTTCATATCCTTATAAATATCTTGACATTTAACTTCATAGACTAGACTGTCTGTATCAGTATACAACAGTTTACAAGCGTTACCATATTTATTTAACATATAACTATAGTGAAAATCATAAATTAACGTTTTGGATATATCAAGCACACTTAACCCTACATATATCGGTTTGTTGAGCAGTACCTCGGTTTTAGTTAATTCAATGGCAACCAGATTTTCATCAAATATTGCCCGACTACGGAAATTTGGTCGGGATATGAGAGCTTCTGCTCCGTAACGGCCAAACCACTGTGTAACAAGCTTTACATCAACATGTTTACGAACATTTTCCATTGTTTTGCCATACACTGCATTGTTCATGAGTTTGAACAAATTCTTTTCAAACTCGTTTTTAGCATTAGTTCGCATCATCGTGTTATAATCAATGTATGGTTTAAGCCAAGTTGATTGCTTAAACTGTAAAACACGATGTATTTTTACAAGTTTAATACCATTTGATAAAACTTGTTTTAGCGTTCTATAGTGTATGACATATTTTTTTTCGGCAGCAAAGTGGTTAACAATTTCTCTTGTTTCGACATAGGCGGCTTTGCTTTTTCTGCGCAAAATGGCATGTCTTTATGAGTATCATGAATACTTTCAGGATACTCTAAATCCACTTCCAATATGTACCCAACAGAAGAATCGTCAGGTACATTAAAATCAAAAGTATCGTTGACATGATCAACCCATTTGAAACCGCCATATGGAAGCGCTTGTGCCATTGCCCAGCCATACAAATTATTGGCATCAAAGTACATTATATAGCTGGTATCTTTATTTTCGTCGAATTTATCCATATAAGGATTATTCGCTTTGGCATAACGGTTACAACATTGACTAATGCCACCTCTGATACCTGACTCAACAAACATAACCATATCAATATCGGTTATAAGGTGCAATGCTATACTCGTATACTTGAGCATGGCATCCCAAGTTAAACCAGGGGTTGTATAATAGTGTGCAGGATCTAACCCATACGCTTTAACACATTGTTCTCGAAAATTTTCAAAAACATCTGCTAGTAATAGTACATCAGTTTTCATATATAAATGGACATAGTCATAGAGATTTTTGCAATCAAACTCAATCCATACGTTCTGTGCATGCTTATATTCATCTTCAGAAATGCCCGCATCGTAAAGCGCACTATAAAATTTCTCTATCGGAGGTAGTTGCGTCTCATCAAGCTTGGTTTTTGAATCAAAATACTCGTAGGGGAATACACCCTTTCTAGTTAATAATTTAATTTTATCAGGATTACTCACAGTATTGGCAAAAACAGAATGTACAATTTTATATTCATCTAAATAGGATGCGAGTTTTTCAAGGGATGCTGCCATAAATCGGAATGAGTCAATAAATCTAAATTTAACCTCACTACCTTTAACATGTTTAATAAAGGAGATATATTTCTCCTTATTGATGGGAAGTAGACTTATATGACCTTCAAAACTTGTTGAAATTGCATGTATAATGAAATGTGCATCATAGCCACTTAAATTGTGAAATACTACGGGAATAGTCTGACAATCTTGATAATTTAAATTACATGACTCATGGGCAGCACCCCTATATTTACCAGTAAGGTGACAATGATCACGGACTTTCTTTACATTTGCTGGTATTTTCTGATGACATATGTGACACATTACGGCTCTATTAAAGTCACTGACTTGCTGAGGAGTTAAGGTATCCATTGGTAATGGTTTTTTAAATATTTTATCAATTTTTTCAGATAATTGCCTTAATTCCTCAGAAAACCATTTAGCAGGGTCGGATTCCTGCTTCGGACAAGCAACATACTTGCATTGAGATTCGTCATAGCTACATTTTATATAATAACCAATACTTAATAACTTATGACGCTGGAATATCTTAGTTTTACTTAAATTATCTACATCATCTTCTACAGGTAGAAGTAAACTCTCACAGTCAGCGTAAATAATAAATGGAACTTTTTCCCTATTCTTATAATTTTTAAAAGTAATCATACATTTATCAGGCTTTGGCAAAATTACTTTACATTCATTCAATTTTTTACAATTTTCAGTGTGTACATTTAATTTTTCATCTGAATGGAAATAGTGAAGACATCGGTCACATATATACTTTCTACCATTATTGTTAGACAATTGCTTTGATATGAGTCGTGAAAAATCTTTTATCCAAACGTAATGGAAATTCATAAAATTAATATCGTCACAATTTGCATTAACATCATTATTCATATTTTCATCAACATATGAATCTACTACATGCAGTAGATTTACATGCTTCCTCCTCTTTTCTATAGTTAAATGTAGCGGGTGAACTGAAAAATTACCATACTTTTTTGCTAGACCGTAGACATTTATAGATATATCATTAAGTTTTTCAAATTTCGCTATACTTTTTAATGCTACAGGAAATTCGATTCCTTTAAAATTTAACTCATTTTCAAAATTCTTATAAGTAGAAACACGGTCACTTCTAGTTAAATTTTGATGTAAAGCTGAAAGAACAGCCCATTTAAAACATTCATTGTCTCTATCATTATGTACATTAATACACGCATGTTTTATCTTGATTTTAACAGGTAAATCAATATATGAACTAGCACGTAAAGGATTATATTTATTTACATTAATTTCTAATTTACCTATAGATTGTAGATTCCAATTAGATCCTTTTGCATAAAACTCTTCAACATTTTTTAAAATTGGCTGCTTCATATTTACATCAAACCATTCCTCCAATGGGGTTGTTAGAAAAATACTGCTAGATTTTGCTGTAAACGGTATTGGAATAACTACCTCTTCTTCATTTTGCACCCTTTTGAAATAAGCTGTCAGAACGCTGTAGACAATGAGGGAACCATTTTGTTTTAAAACATCGGTAATGTGCTCTTTAAACAAAATGGATGCATCATCTAAAAACCTACTTATATCTATATGTACAATATTTATTATAACATACGTGTACAATCTACATTCAAACGCATTCTCACACATAGCCCATCGTACACGCTTAGTAATATCTGAGTCTTGTAAGCCAGCGCCCTCTACCGCATGAGATTGAAACAATACTCTATATCTCACAAAGGATTGCAGAATGTTCTCACATCGACTTTTCTCATGCGTAAAATACATATATCTTAAAATATTTGTTAAAAGTAACTCATTTCGAGAACATTCCGCAACCCATCGTACTATAAATTCATTTTTATCTACGCCATTACGCAAACTTGAAAGCAATTCAAGAGCATCCTTAATGAGTGTAAGTGATATGTCATACTCATCAAGAATGGTCTTATAATTTATACGTTTTACAGGTACTTGGTTATCGGTACACTTTCGTTTGCCTACCATTATAAAATCTTAAAAAATAAGAAAAGTGAAAAAATATAAAATCAGAACACTCTACTCGCTGTTAACTCTTGCTGCGACTAGGCTGCATGAGCTCACAGAATAGAATGAAAAATCAACTCGCAAAACTTCAATTTATATCCCGAAAGTCCAACTGTTGAGCATGCGCAGTGGACGTTAAACCACCACTCTTATTTTACCACCACTCTTATTTTACGCATGCGCAGTGGACATGGTATCACCACTCTTACTTTACGCATGCGCAGTGGACTTTTAACTAGCACTCTTATTATTATTTACCAACAGTCTGTAACTTACAAACAGTTGGTAATGCAGATTTATCTACAGTCGGTATTGGCTTGGTTGGTAACTTACCGACTGTAGGTAAATCTAGTGAACGATTAACCACTACCCTTATTCTACGGTCGCGCAGAGAATATGTATAAAAGAAAGATCTACTTTTAATATACATTTAAACTTTTATTGATTTAAATTTTTTAATATAATTTTAATTTTCAATATAACCCTACGCCGATGACGACCACCGCGCCGCCTACGTTCATTGGTAGGCGGTGGAGTCGGCGATTTCGGTGGCGGGGGTGTTGGTGATCGCGGTGGCGTTGGTGATCGCGGTGGCGTTGGCGGTGGCGGTAGAGGTGAAGGCCTCTGCACCCTCGCCCAGGGTGGTGAATCCGGCCGATATTGATGGGCAATCGACCGGAGTGGGGACATCTGCTCTGGTGTCCCCAATTCCACCCAAGATGGCGTCTCTGGCTGATGCCAGGGTGCAGGTGACCCCGGTGGTGTGGAGGGTAGGGGCACCTCATTGCCTGGGTTCTGTAACTAATAAATTATTATTAATTAATTATTGTTTAAATAATTATTATTAAATAATTATTGTTTAAATAATTATTGTTTAAATAAATATTATTAAATAATTAATTAATACTTACATTATTGGCCGACATCATCCTCACGAGGGAGTGGAAGCAGGAGCAGTCTTCCATGCTTGACTGCACTGGTCGAAGTCTCGGTCGAATATGCTAATTAATAGCAATACACTTACCCTCGTTAATTTTCTCCCACCACTGTAATGTAGAGAAACTACAGGAGCGATTCTTGTGGAGAGTGAGTAGAACTAGAAGCGCGCTGACAGTTACGCGGGAAAATAATTTGAATTCAAAATATATTTGAAAAATTAACTTCTTAAAATTTAAATTTTTTTTTTAAATATTATATTAGTTTTGAATAATTGTAAAATTAATTTTTTTGTAAATTTTATTTCTTGAAAAAATTAAAATTTTTAATTAAGTATAACTTTGTAATTTAGAAATTAAATTATTGCAAATTTAATTTTTTGCTAAATTGTTGTATAATGATAGGTGTTATTTTAAAAAAAGGGATTTAGGATTAATTTTTAGGTTAGGTTGATATTAAAGATTATTTATTTTAACATTTTAAATCTATATTTAACATTGATAGAAAAATTTATTATTATTTATTATTGGTAGAAAAAAACTTAATATTTATTAGAAAAAAATGAAAACATATAAATATCTGTATAAAAATAGAACATTTCAAATCTATATTTAACACTTGAAATAAAAAAATATATTATTTAGCCTAATATATAGAATAAACTTAATATTTATTAGAAAAAAATGAAAAGATATAAATATGTGTATAAAAAAAATAGAATATTTTCCTTAATATTTATTAAAAAAAGCTAAAAAAGATACTAATATATAAAAAATGAAAACTTTAATAAAACAATAAAAGTAAAAAAATAGTTTAAAAAATATAAAATTAAATTTGTAAAATAACACTATTTATTTTTTTTCATTTTCCTCAATGACGACATCAAATTTTCCTTTGGAGATCCCTTTTTTCCCCTTCTTCTTAATTTTTGTGGTGGATTATCGATTATAATCGGCTGAACCTCCGCAACATGCTCCTTCCTTTTAATTAGAACGTTTGAGCTATGCCTGTTTGGCATTCCCGGCTTCCTTGTAAAGCAAGGTGGGGTATCTTCACCCCCAAACAATTCTGGTGCATTTGGATTATATTCTGCATCTTTTAGTTTTGCAAATTTTGCCGTATTTTGTTCTAAAATCTGTTAAAAAAAGTGTACAATTAATAACTTTTTTTCAACTATACATATATTAAACTTCAAAAGACAGCTCATAGATGTCACGTAATGGTAAAGTCATTTACTATAATAAAAATTAAATATATATATTAAGAGATATATTTAAAATAACAAAATATAAAAAATTTTATCTTTACATGTAAAATGCAAATTATTTTTATTAAAAATTAATTTACCCTTTTTTTAGTCGCCTCAAACCAGCTTTTCACCTCACTCTTTTTATCATCTTTGGTTTCCTGCAATATACGAAAAATATTAATAAAGGTCAATTTTATTTTTACAAAATTGAATTTTTGTTAAATAAATTTTTTGCAAAATTTGGATTTTGCTAAATTAATTTTTTGCAAAATTTTTCTAAATCGATTTTTTTGCAAAATTTTGACAAATTTTGATTTTGCTACATAAGTATTTACAAAATTGTATTTTTGCGAAATCAATTTTTTGCAAAATTTTTCTAAATCGATTTTTTTGCAAAATTTTGTTTTTGCTAAATTGGTATGTGATAAATAAGTTTTTTTGCAAAAGTCAATTTTGCAAAATTGATTTTTGTGAATACTTATTTAGCAAAAGTCAATTCAGCTTTATGCGATTTTCATTTTTGAGAATTTCATTTTTGTGAATTTCATTTTTGCAAATTTCATTTTTGCGAATTTTATTTTTGCAAATTTAAATTTTACGAATTTCATTTTTGCGAATTTTATTGAATAAGTGTATAGGGAATTTAATTTTTCGCTAAATTAATTTTTCTGAATTTATATTTGCAATCTTGATTTTCGCATAATTTAATTAAGTGAATATAATTTTGCAACTTTGATTTATGAAAAATTATTTTCGCTTAATTCATTTTTAGTAATATTAATAAAGAGTAATTATAATTTTTTGCAAAGTAAATTATTCAACTTACTTCATTTTTTTGGACAATCTCCAATGAATTTTCTGTTTGGTCCAGATTTTTTTCAATGTTATTCTAAAAAAAATTTAAACATTAATATTATACATAAAATTGTTTGCCTAAATTTGTTTAATAAAATTTATTTACTTAAAAAATTTTGAAGTTTTGTATAATATTACTTTAATAAAGTTAATTTACAATTGTAAATTTACTCAATATAAAATTCTTAAATTTTCTTAATATAAAACTTTCAAAATTATTTCTTGAACTGGACTTACTCTAATCTACATCAACTGATAAAATTTGGCTATGGTTTCAAATTACTATAAACATCATCACATTCTTTAAGTATAACCTTCTCTTTGAAACTAATGATCTTAAAAAAAACTCTTAAAATTTTTTAACTTTTAATTAATAAACTAGCAACAATCAGTCTATTAAAAATCAGTAACAAAAAAATCTTATTTGTTAACAACAATATTTATTCACTTAATAGTAAAATTAAAATACCTGTTTTTCCATCACTTCCAATGAATCGTTATTTTCCATTTTTTCAGCATTAATTTCTTTATTTTCAAGATTTTTTGTTTCCTACATATAAAAAATAGTATTAACATTATTAATATCTTTATACTATATGATATATAAATAAATTTAATTAAAAAATTAGTAAAAAATATGCACATACCATTTTTGCTTCTTTCCACTATCTTTTGAATTAAAGGCTCTTTTGAATGAAATTACGTCTGCTAGTGCATAAACTTGTCCAAAAAACTTAACATTATAATTACTTAAATGTTACTAATTTTTATTACATTTTAAATTTTGCCGCGTATTCAACATAATTTTATTATAAACAAATGGTGGGAATAACAAAAACAAAGTCTTATCTCTAGAGACTTTATGTTTTCATGAAAGGCGCGAAATTCAATTCAAATTCAAATGTAAAGCTTTAAAATATTTTCAGCAAATTAACTTACCTTAATAAATAATCACTTAATAATAATAATAATGCTAACGATGTAAATAAAATTAGTTATAAATTTTATATTTCAAGAAACAACTATTAATAGTTTATATATAATAGTTTTATATAATTAATAGTTATAAATAAACAATAAAATATTAGATAATAAATGCAACTTACCTTTGTTAATAAGCAAATAATAGTACTATAAAAATAAATTTAATAACTTATCAATACTAAAACACTTGTTTTAAATTCAAAATGATATCATTTTTTATGTTGGCAATGCTTCGATAAGTCACTTTAGGCGCGAATTAAATTCAAATTTAAAACTACAATAGTGCAGTGTAACTAATTAATAAATTTATATTCATTAATATTTAATTGAAAAAATTTACAAATGAATATTAGATGTTTAAACAACTATTAATAATAGAATATTTTCAAATAAAATATTGATTAATTATTATTATTACAACTTATCTTCGTTAATAACAATTATGACAAATTGTTAATAATTATATTGCAAAATTAAGTTGAAAAAAATATACGTAAAATTAACTTAATAAATAGCAAAAACAAATTATTATAACTTACCTTTGTTAATAACAATTATGACAAATTGTTAATAAATATATTGCAATATGATATGCATAAAATTACCTTAATAAATAGTAAAAATTAATAATTAAATTGTTATATTTTATATTTTTTAATAACAATTTACCTTTGTTAATAACAATTATGATAAATTGTTAATAAATATATTGCAATATGATATGCATAAAATTACCTTAATAAATAGTAAAAATTAATAATTAAATTGTTATATTTTATATTTTTTAATAACAATTAAATTTGTTAATAACAATTGAAGGTCGGTAAAACAGATCCCTACCTTATCGGTTGAACCAAAATTTGTAACAGGTTTCTACCTTACCGACAGTTGGCAAATCTGCATTACCGACTGTAGGTAAATCTGCATTACCGACTGTAGGTAACTTAGCCGAGATATGAACCTGTCCTAGAACTCTCATAGCTCTACTACTTTTATCTAAACCAGTAGAAGAGGGCCCAATGGAATCACAAAAAGAAACAAAAGCATATTTTTTTTGTCTAAGAAACCTTTTAACCTCATTATCAACAGTCCTAAATTTATCCCTAATCTCTGGAGTTTGATTCCTTAACCAATCCTTTCTTGCCACGAGGCAAGAAAGGAAAACTCGGATAATCCGAATTGTTAAATATTTATTACAATTTAACATTATTATTGTTTAAACAATTATTATTTAATACAAACGGGAAAATAATATTGTAAATATTCCATAATAATTTAAACAATTTGAATTTATTAAAAATAAACTCATATTTATAAAAAACTAAAATTAAAAATAACTCGGATGACGAGGACTAGACTCGGATAACGCAGAATTTCCTACTGAGACACCACCTCGGATAATCGAGACCTTGGATAAAGCGAGCTTGGATAAACGGGGTTTTACTGTATATATATATACATATACTATTTATTAATATGTTTATCAATAAAACTTTAATTTTTTCAAGTTTTGTATCTTTTTTACATCTCTTCTACGAATTATAGCACCCTCGCAATCACCATCTCACCATAAAGGTTCAGCTTTCCTTCTGCCAGAATGACTTTTTGGACGAAAGGACCCATTCTTTTTAAGAACCAAAACAAGAAGAGTATAAAATTCATCCTAAATTTTATTAGGAGGAAGACCTGAATCCAGATATTCTTTAATAATCCGTAAAGGATCCCTCAAATCCTCTTCGAGTTTAATCCAATCTACATTTTTAATATTAATTCTACTAGATTCCGAAACCACAATCTTAGTTTCGATATCAAAAGAAGCTAGAACTAACAAGAGATCGGAATTATAGGAATCTTCGGAAACTTCAAAGGAGGCTTGAAAAAGAATTGATTTAGACAGTACTACTAGATCTAAGTTATTGTTTGTCCTATCAGACACATCGTTTCTGGTCAGAATATGGTCATTTAAAGCAATAAGACTAAACATCTCAAATGCTCTTGACAAATCCAAACCTCTCGTAGAATCATAAGTGGAACCCCAGGTCAAAGAGTGTGCGTTGAAATCACCACATATTATCCATGGAATATGAGGAAGACCCTCTATAAAACTTAGCAAAACTAAATAAGGAATGTGCTTCGCAGGAGGAACATAAATGGATATAATAAGTCTTTTACCCATTTTAGTGT